CCCGCCTGGCCCTTGTAATGTCTTCTGCGTTTATGTACTTTTGGGCCTTGGCTAGCAGCTCAGGCATGCTCTTTGGTGGGCGCTTCAGAACTGAGAAAAGGAAACTTGATGAACGGAGGCCACCCAAGAAAGCGGTCATCGTCACCTTGTCGTCAGGTTCATCAACTTGGAGTACCTCCTCGTTAAAACGAGTGAGGTAACTTCTCAGGCTCTCCTCGCGGTCCTGCTTTATACTAAGCAGGTGCGTAACTGGTTTCTGGTGGCGACGCCCTCCTATGAAGTGTGAGACGAATGATCTGCTAAGCTCGGCGAAGGAGGCAATAGAGGCGGGGGAGAGCTTAGCAAACCACTGTCGGGCAGAACCCTTTAATGTGGTTGGGAATGCCCTGCACATGATTTCGTCTGGTACGTTGTGCAATTGCATCAAGGTCTTGTAAGTGTCGAGGTGGTCCAGTGGATCCTTTGTTCCATCAAAGGTCTCCACAGATGGCATTTTGAACTTCTGAGGGAGGGGGTAGTTTGCTACATCAGATTTGAAAGGGGTATCAGTACGCCTTACCAGGTGGTCAACAGTCTCGGGTCCCTGTGCCTTCATGGCGTTGAAGACATCACCGAGTTGATTTTGTACCTCCTTTATCTTCTCGTCCCAATGATTGGGGGCTCCTCTGGAATGATCATGGAAATGGCTTCCATGCCCCATGCTTTGGTTTTCACCCTCATCCTCCTGGAGATAAGGGTCATCTCCGTGGAAAGCAAGGGGAGGGGGAGGTGCAGCTCCCTCATGTTGGGCTTCCTGAAGTGGGGTGCCCAATGGGGCACCCGGGCGTGGAGCAATAGGGCGTGGTGCTCCTTGATGTTCAGGATGTGGAGCTCCTTGGGGTGCTCTATGTTGTGCACCTCTGTGGGGCCCTCCATGTTGTGCATCTCCGTGTGGTGCTCCACCTTGGGGTCCTCCATGTTGTGCACCTCCGTGTGGTGCTCCTCCTTGTCCAGCAAGTATGAGTTGCAGTAACTGTTGGTTTTGAGCAACCAGTTGCTGCATGGTCTCCAATATTTGTTGGGGATTCGGGGCCAAAGTATCCGGAACAGGGTTGGTAGGCGGGGGAACAACCTCTTCCTCTCGTGGAGGATTGTCTTCGTGTTGGTTCATGGATCGAGTAGTGATCGCCATTAATTAATGGACGTAATGTTCAGGAGTGAGAATTTTGTCGTTTCCCACAGACGGCGCCAAACTGATGATGCACAAAAATGGTTTTGCACACCACCTGTCAAGTATAGATAATAAATGCAATAAAATCAACGAAAGAATTAAAGAAGACACAATTTATAGTGGTTCGGTCAATTTGACCTACGTCCACTCTTCAATGGCTTCAGTCGCCGGGTATTTTATTGATTCAAAGGTATGGAGAATGGAGATACAAGCTTTGAGAGGGGGAGTAGAGAATCAGAGAAAATAATAATCTCCGGTAGTCGGTTCGTCTTCTGTAAGTCTCTGATGGAACATGTGTCTCCTCTCCCAGATTAGAGCCATTTTATAGTAGCTAAGAGGTCATTATTGTGGAGATCATGACATATCCTCAAGGCTTCTTTATCGCAGCTTAGAGATTATCTTTGGTGGAGATCGCGACTTATCCTCAACGGAAGGAAGAGGTTGGGGAGCTCTTCATGAAACGTGGTCAATGATTGGACCGTTTTCTTCCTTCTGTGGTGCAGATAAACTTCCCGTGCTCTCCTCTTGGTGACGTGCTAAGCAAGAAGTCTAGCCGGCCTTGGGCTCCTTAAGGCGGTGCAGATAAACTTCCCGTGCTTTCCTCTTGGTGACGTACTAAGCAAGAAGTCTAGCCGGCCTTGGGCTCCTTTGGCTTGGTGGATTCACGATAAGGTTGGGCTCCTCAACCGGGGTTGGGCTTTAATACATAAATTGGACTACTTGGGCTTAACCCATCACCTCCAACTATATCCATCATAAGATTAAGAAGGTCAATCACTATTAACCATGGGTTGTGAAGTTCTTGGATCCTCTTCCAAGTTCTCTGGTGCCATGTTGGAGGGCTCAATTACTTTCTCTATTTCTAAAATCCTTATGGAGATTTGATCCAAATTCATATTCTAAATGGTGTTTGACTTGATAAGGAAGCTGGGCACAGGGCCTAGCCTGAAACAACCATTGTTGGTGACTGATATTGTTTACCTAGAGATAACAGTGACACCCATATCTTAGCATATAACTGATAAATGTATACAGATAAATTGTAAATCCAAGTTGTCCTCTACACATTTTCTCAAGTGGGCTCATGTTTGGGACTACATTAATCAGAGAGAATAGGAAAAAGTATTATAAACTTTAAATCCTTAACAATACCAGATAATTATGCTAAATACATAGAAAAAATTATGAAAATTCAAAGCAAAATAGTATCTAAATTTATAGATACTGACCGAATTTGCTAGGAGACAAACTGTGGTCTTTGATACAATCTTCTCCATGAGTTTGTAAACCACAGTAGATTTGCTTTCTGATTTTAAGATGTTGTCAAATGAATCAACAATTGCAGCTCCAAATATCTCATCCTGAAATCATTGAACCCCACAACAGTAAAGGAAAAATATTCAATGAAACGAAAAAGAAATCTAAAAGAGAAGCCCTTGAATCAAGAAGTCACCTAGGAGGAAATCTCCCCAACTGGAGGGATGAGGGCGATGCGCTGATTGCACCTGCAAGGCCCTCTGCTCCATTGTGAAATGAAGGGAAAAAAGTGGGGAATAGGAAAAGGTGGGGAAGTATGATTCAATGTTATAGATAGTAATTAATGGAGTTATTAAATGATACATAGTGGTCTTTAAAATTTTTAAAAGATTAATGTAAGAACTCAAAATTTTAAAAATAGATAATAGTTAGTAAATAAAATTGAATGTCGAGGGTCTTTACTTCTAGAAGTGGAAGAGTCTAAAAGTTAAATATAAGATGATATGATATATTTGACATTATAGAATTATTAAAGGGCAAATGAGAAAATTAAAAGTTTTTCTTCTTAAGCCACTTTTAGAAGTAATACAGATATAGATTAATATCAAAAATAATTTTTGATTGGTTATTTTGATTTATTTGTAATTGTTGGTAAAAAAAATTAAAATAAAATAAAGGATAAATTACAATATAATGCCCTAAATTATGGATTCAATTTTACTTCATCCTTGAACTATTAAAATGTGGGTAAAATGCAAAAAACTTTCCTGTACTTGTGGTCATTTGTATCTGACCTCATCGTAGTTTTAACTATTATACTAAATCCCATCAACTTGAAAATAAAGTTTAAAAAAAGACGAGTGTTGCTAATTTAGCCAAAGGTGTTAACCACGCGCTCAAATTTGCAAATGGAGATAAAATGTGTTAAAATTATAACTTATAATTCCTAAAATACCCTTGCCGACCTAGCCATCTACCCCTCCCTCTCTCCCTCCAAACCCTCTTCTTTCTCCACCGGAAATTCATCACTTTGTAACATAAAATATTATGCTTACCAAAATAATTTACCAAAATTTTCATACTAAATAATGTGGTACAATCTTCGTCATTAAATATTAATGAGATCCACTTATTTAATAGTAAAAAACTGTGTCACATCATTTAAGACGAAGATTTGGTAAAAAATGTATGAAGCATAGCATTATCCCATGTAACACCACCATCATAGCCACTCCCCCAACAAAACCCACCCCCTGCAGCATCTCCCTTCCTCACCAAAACCAACCCCCTACAACACTACTACCCCACTCACCATTGCCAGAAGAACTCCTCCAACCGAGCCCACTTTCTACAACACTCCCACATTGTCGAAAACTCCCCATCCAAGCCTACCCCGCAACACCTCTCCCACCCCCAACCCACCTCTGTCAGAAACCCCAACCTATTCCTGCCAAAAATACCACCTCTCATCCATTGTGATCGAAGTGACTCAATTGTGTTCCCATACAGGTGTAGTGGTAGAAATTGGGTGGATTCTGGGAGTTGTGGGGACACTCACCACCACCAACTTCATAGAAGGAGTTGTTCAGTGAGTGATGTGTTCTTGATGATAATAGGTCAGAAGATGGTGGAATTGGGTTTACTTGGAAGCCTTGCATGCATTATCCTAGAGACTTTTGCAAGAATGGAAGCAATTGCAAGTTCTTGCATGGTGGGCTCTCTGATTTATTCGATGGAAGCAATTGTGTGATATTTTTTGGGATAAAATGACGAACAAGTGTGGTGCTAATGGACGATCGATTAAGATAAATGAATTTTCTTGGAAAAGAGTGGATGGGAAGAGAGAATTAGAGAGACAAAATCAAAGGGTAGTGTCATAGATATTGAGGTAGAAGAAGGGTATCAAATGAAAATTAAATGGCTAAATGAGGATATTATAATATTTTTATAAATTCTGTAACAGACATATATGACACTTTATTTTCAAGTTGAGGAGGTTTAGTACAATACTTAAAACTACAAGGCCACGTGCAAATGACTTTAAGTACAAATATTTTTTTTGCATGTAATCCTTAAAATTTTTATATTGTTCTTTCAACTATTTAAATTATTTCACATAGTCCTAATCACAAAGTACGCTATCTTCTTGAATATAAAAATATTGATTTGTCGGGGCAAAATTTAAAAAGTCACATAGTTTAGGGGGGAAAAAATAAATAATTTTTTGTTAAATATTTAATAGATGTTAGTAATTGAGATGAATTAAAGCTATTAAGGATGCGAATATGATAATTCAGAAAACAATGTGAAAAAAGGTTTATATGGTGAAAGTATAATTTTCCCTAAATAAAACAAGAAAGAAAAGGTTACAGAATAATTAGCCCTTCTAAACCGGTTCTGGTCATTAATGAATGAGTCAACGGCCCTGTGTATCCTGAGCGACACATAACCTTCAACACAATCGCCGCTCAACTGTCCTAGCACTCTTGAAGACGACGTTTTCTTCAAAATCATCGGAAAGGTCATAGATTTGATGGCTGAAACTGCTATTGATGATGACCTTGTGAGATCAGCTCGGAAACTTTCGATTCTATTTCAATACAAGAAGCTAGAACTCTGGACGATTTCCCTCAAGAAATTTGCTGAGAAGCACTCGGAGCATAATGAATTGAACATTCTGTTGACGAAAATTGGTGATGTGGTGGGCAAGGCAGTCAGTATTATCAGATTGTATTTCGATGATGATAGTGGGAAGAAATTGTTCGGTTTCATGGAATATACTCTCGTGCGAGATCTTCAGGATATCACGACACAAACGCAGAATATCATCAAGATGTATGATGTCGAAAACCAGCAGGGGGAAGAAGCTGTGGCGAGCGCGCAATTTGGAAGTTCACCGAGAACAGATCTCGAGGAAGAAACTGTGCTGGGCTTTGACAAGGAGAGGATGAGGATAGTGAACCTGCCTACTGGAGGAGAACAGCATTTACAAGTGCTCTCACTTTTCGGTGTGCCTGGAAGTTGTAAGACAGCTCTGGTGAGAAAAGTGTACAATGATCCTTCAATTACATCTCACTTCAAAGTTCGTGCATTTGTCAATGTGTGTAATGCATATTCACGCAGGGATTTTAGCAAATCAAATTCTGCTCTCCTGATTACTGACCGAATTTGTCAAATGAGTCTTGAAGAGCTGTGTGAAGTTCTTTACAGATTCTTAGAGGGCGAGAGATATCTTCTTATCATCGATGATGTATGCGATATGAATTTCTGGTGGTATTTGAGGAGATATCTTCCAGATGCAGGCAATGGAAGTAAAATTTTGTTTCCTACTCAATACTTGCATTTGGATAGGGATTTTGTTGGGACTCCACCATTCGTCTGCCTCTTTTAAGTCAAGAAGAAAGTTGGGTTTTGCTGCAAAAGAAGGTATTTGGGAAAGAAAGCTGCCCTGAAGAGTTATGGGATATTGGAATGGCAATAGCAGAAAAATGTGATGGACTACCTCTCATAATAGTAGTCATAGCAGGACTCCTTGCGAGGGAAGAGAAGACCCAATATTTTTGGGAGCAAGTTGCCCAAAGTAAGAGTTTTACTAAGATTATTATGTTGCTCATTATCTTTTATACTTCTCTAGAACATGCTGACAGAGAAAATATTGAGAACTCTCCGGAGCTTGGTTATATCAATGAAGATATTAAAATGAATATAAAGAAAGAGGTCAGCAAGAATTATGAGAAGAAAATGTGCTTCAAAATCCCACAAGTTGACATGTCTCCCCATGGAAGTTTGTTATCACAGAGTGCTCCCAACATAGCGAAAATGGTGTCCAGTGGAAGTTCATCAGAACCGAGAATTCTGAATAAGGGGAAAATGGTCATAAGGAGTCCATCAACCGCTAGTATCCCTAACACAGAAAAGGAAATTGTGGTTGGCTTTGATGAGGAAGCAGAGACCACTAAAGAGCGACTTATAGGGCAGAAAAAGCTAGAAGTTATTTCCATAGTGGGAATGCCTGGACTGGGTAAGACAACTCTAGCTATCACTTCTATATTCGGGGTTGGGCCTATGCTTCTCCAGTGTATACAAAAAAGGATTTATTACTAGACATTTTACATTCTGCTTTTCAACTTAAAGATGAAGGTTGTGAAATGAGTGATGAAAAATTAGGTGAAGATTTGCGCAGACGCTTAAAAGATAAGAGATATCTCATCGTGTTGGATGACGTTTGGAATGTTGGGGCCTGGTATGATTTGGAAAAATCTTTTCCCGATGACAACAATGGAAGTAGAATTTTGTTCACCAGTCAGTTCTCAAATACTACTCTGTGTGGTAAATCTAATAGCTTTCACTGTCTACGTTTTTTTAACTCAAGATGAAAGTTGGGAACTTTTGCAGCAAAAGATATATAGGAGAGTATACTGCCCTCCAGAGCTGGTTGACATTGGAAAGCGAATCGCGGAATATTGTCTGGGACTACCGCTTGCAATAGTTGTAATAGCTGGACTTCTTGCAAAGACAAGGCAAACACTAGACTGGTGGAACCAAATTGCCAACAGGGTAAGTTCATTAATTGTTAGAGACCCAAATCAGTGCATGGATGCCCTAGCAACAAGTTACGACCAATTGCCTCATCACTTGAAAGTATGCTTTCTCTATTGTGGAGCATTCCCAGAAAACTATGATATTCCAGTGTGGAAGTTGGTTTGTTTATGGATAGCGGAGGGATTTATACCACAGATTGGGCACAGGATCAAAGAAGACAGCGCTCAATTACTTGATGGACCTAATTGATAGAAATCTGGTTTTAGTTTCCAAAAAAAGGTCTGATGATGGAGTTGGAGCATGTCGTCTTCATGATTTGTTGCGAGGTTTATGCTTGAGAAAAGCTGATGAAGAAAATTTTCTACTAGAGATTAATGGGTACGAAAAAGTTCTTTCCTTTACAGGATTAGCAAAGAGGCATCATCGGCTATGCATCCATTCTCAAGTTTTCCATTATGTTCCTTTAGAGCCTCCTGCCATACATATCTGTTCTCTCTTATGCTTTGGTCCTGAATCTGATGCATTATCTGGCAAGCATACATCACACATTTTTCGGTCCTTAAGTTGTCTTAGGGTATTGGAGTTCTCATCCATCCCTATCATGTGTTTTTCAGAGGAAATATTACAACTTGGTCATTTGAAGTATTTAGCGCTTCAGATTGGAGACGGGAGTCTACTGTCATTAGTCTCTGAACTCATGAACCTAGAAACCCTTATTGTATCATCAAGGACCAACATTACTATTCCGCCAATTATTTGGAACATGGTAAAGTTGAGGCATCTGGTTATTATGTCAGGAGAAAATTATATTGAAAAGCCTCGTTCAAAAGCAACATCGGCTACCTCCATATTGAATAACCTCCAAACTATCTCACAAGTATATCTTTCTGTTTCTTGTCGGCATGTCTTGGAAAGGGCTAATCTTAGAAAGCTGGGATTTTGTGGACCTATGTTGTCAGAGTTTGGTTTTGTAACATTCCCTAATCTAGACTTCCTAAACCACCTTGAGACACTAAAGTTTCTAGACACGAACACCCATGTCCGCAGTTCACGCAATCTGCAATGGGAAGAGTTTCCCCAAAATTTGAAAAAGCTGACTTTATCCAATACTGATCTAAAGTGGGAGGAAATTAAAATCCTAGGCATGCTACCCAACCTGGAGGTTCTCAAATTAAAAATTCATGCATGCATGGGACACCGGTGGGAAACAATTGATGGGGGGTTTCGTCAACTCAGATTGTTGAAAATTTTCCATTCGAATATTGTGCAATGGGAAGCCTCCAGTAGTCACTTTCCAAGCCTTCAGAAATTGATGCTACAAGGATGTTTTCAACTCAAGGAAATACCTTCTGAATTAGGGGATATACTCACACTAGAGGTTATTGAGCTTATTGATTGTAGCCCCTCTGCTGCAAAATCTGCAAGACAAATAAAAGAAGAGCAAGAGAGCAAGGCTAACGAGTGGTTGCAGATCTTTATTAGCCCTCCCATATAATCTTGATGCTTTGATGATCTTGGGTGAAAAGGAGGCATGACCAAAGTTGAAGAGCCTGTGGTATTCTTTTCTTATTGTCTCCTTTTCATCACTGAAACATTTTTTTATCTTTTTATCTGCTTCACGGGCATCTATAACATTGGTTTGGAAATTGTTTGGATAATCTGATTATTAATTGCATTTTTATGTATCTTTAATCCTAAGGTCATCTAATCAATCATTCTGAATTCTTAGCCTAGTTGCATGACATTGAATATTTCTCCTGTGCTAATCAAAATAATGCAACTTTGGACAACATAAAGTTTTCCAGAGGAATTGGTCCTGTAGGTATTTTGATGTTAGTGCAATAAAAATTCAATTGAACAAGCCTTTGTTTCTTTATTGTTCCAATCTGTTGTTATTCAGTTTGATTTCTAGTTTATCGGTAGAAAGTTTATTACTAACTAGATTTTGTACTTTTAGGAGAATAAACATTCAGAGTGCTAACATATCTTGATCCATTGGACAAGTGAACTGATGCATTAGATTTTAGATGTACAAATCAAGTATTTACAATTTCTCAAACAATACACCATTCTTGCAATTACAGTAGTGGAATACCCAAATTCTTGATTGCAAATAGTTGTTCTTGTTTTTATTTTTCTTTCATCAAGTTTCTCGTCTTTTGGTTTCTATCCGTTGCAACATTTATTATGCAGTGTGTTATATCTATATGAATATATCCCATATTTACCATTTTTAAGGTATTCAATCGAAGAACTTACAAGCTTTAATATCATTGAGTTAGAATTGTGAACCGTTTCAAGTTGATATTAACAACAATTTTCAAATGATTACAGGTCATCAAAAGGAGCAATAATAATTTTAACTCTATCCTCCAATATAGAAATTTGACTCATAAAATGGGCTCAGAGTATCTTACAGAACTTCTGCCAATGTTCTTTTTCCCTCCTCCTCAGATATTTCCTTATAGTTATTCTTTATATATTATTGATTACAATTTTTGAGGACCACCCTTACACTGAGTTTTTCTTCCTCCGGTATAAATCAGCACTTGGGGACTGTTATCTTTCAACACATACCAAGCATTGTTGTGTTAATAACTTAAATATATAAGACAATTGATGAACTTAATGCCCAGTTGTACCAGATTAATCAGCCTCTTTCCCTGGATGGAGGCTAATTTGTGGGACCCATATAAAATTCATTCTTAGCTATAACTTAGATTGTTTGTTGCCCTATTTTAATTAATAGGGAAAATTTCAACCACACCCCCTGTAGTTTATTATATCTTCAACGATACTCCCTCTAGTTTCTGAATCTTCAATGACACCATCTGTCAGATTAACAATATTAAGTAAAATGCAATTTTAATAAATTGTTCATGTTATATTTGAGGACAAACTTCATCCACACCCCCTCTAGATGAACATATCTTCAATGAGACCACTTCTAGATAAATATATTTTCAATAAAACCCCCTCTGTTTTCTAATTTTTTTTATGTAATTAAATTCAAATAGATTAAAATACGATTCAAGCTAATTAAAATTTATTCTTTTACATATTAAAATTTGTGCCAATTAAAAATTATATTTTTTTTACGTATTAGAATTTAGGCTAATTAAAATTTTGTTTGAGCCAATTAAAAATTATTTTTAATCGACTCAAATCAAATTTTAATTAATTCGCATTGAATTTTAATCAGCCTAAATTTTAATATATAAAAATATATGAATTTTAATTGACTTAAATTTTAATAAATCTAATTTTAATTGACACAAATTTTAATAAGAAAAAAATATAAATTATAATCGATTCGAAAGAGAATTT